GAAAAGTAAATTGTCGGTTGGCGGAGGAGAGTAGCTCTATCATGGCACTGCTGTATCCATATTTCTTTATTTTGTAGATCAGTCCTTTGAGGAAAAACTCTATCGAATGCTTTGTTTATGTCTGGACAGGCTGCTCCGGAGTAATGTCTACATTTGAAGCCTATTGCGTGATATATTCTGGTGATACCCGTTATCTTTATGTTTGCTCTTAAAATTTTAAGAATTTCAGAGTATGACTCCTTCAGCAATTATGCTGACTGCTAGAAATAAGCTCATTGGCATGTAGTTTGGTGAAAATAATATTTTTTTTTGGCATATGGACTGTGATAACATGAGCTTCTCTCCGTTGTTTAGGAAAACTTCTGATTCTGATCAGAGCGTTTAATATGTTAGTCAGATAAACGACTGCTTTTGCTAAAAGGTGTTTGATAGCGCTAAGTGAAGTACAGGTGCTTTCTTTGGTAAAGTGTACAGGATCTGATCGCTCACTTCTTTTGGGAAGGTGTGCTCTTTATTGTATAAGCAATCTCCCAATTACTGTCCAACGGCTTTGGGCGGATCAGTTGGTAAGTGGTAGGGCACTCTGTTGTCCTGAGACCGAAAAAATTGGTCTCAAAGACGGAGCAACCAAGAAATGGTAAACGACATTAGGATGTACAAGGCCAGAAGAAACCACTGCATTAAAGATCCTTATGGATATCTCTAGTACAGCTTCCCATGAGAGAGGAAGAAAGTATGCATACTTTTAATAATTATGGACTTCGGAATCTAAGATCAGGCAGGAGAGGAAGATCACACCCAGACCACGGGGCCTCTCAAGTCGTAAACCCAAGAAAACCCCATGTCGTGGAAGTCCAAAAGATAGCTACGTGGAACGTCACAACTATGTTTGAAGGCGCGAAGTTACACAGTATTCAACTGGAAATGGCCAGACTAGACATTCCTTTCCTAGGCATCTCTGAGACCAAATGGCTAGGATCAAACATATTCAAAAGCAATGGATACATTGTCTACCACTAGGAAAAGGTAGAAGGACCCAGATGTAACGGAGTCGTAATTATTGTCAAAAAAGAAATTCGTAACTGTATTAGAAATTTAGTTTCTTTTAATGATCGCATTATGATGATACAGCTACAAAAGTTAATCAGTTTAAATATCTAGGATTTTGGATAAACGAGACACTAACTCCGGATGAAGAAATTAAAACTCGTATAGAAATTGCAAGAGAAGCATTTATGAAACTTAGATCTATTCTGAGCAATTCTCAGCTGAACTTAAAGCTAAGAATTAAGTTCCTTAAATCTATGTGTATCCTGTATGGATGTGAAACCTGATGTTAACATAATAAACAAATTAAAAACATTCGAGATGTGGTTATATCGTAGAATGCGCATAATATCATGGGTTCAACACATTTCAAACAGAGAAGTCTTGAACAGAGTAGGTCAAGGTAAAGGTGACTTAATAAAGATGATAAAAAAGGGAAAACTCGAATAAATGGGGCATATAATAAGAGGAAGCAGATACAGGATAATGCAGTTGATACTCAACAGAAAGATCGACGGAAGAAGAGCAATTGGTAGAAAGAAATACTCAGGGCTCCAAAACCTTCGCCAATGGACTGGCTTATCAGCAGATGAATTATTAAATGTCGCGCAAGATCGAGAACGATATCGTCATGGAAGCTATCCATGCCTAAAACTTGGGCACGGTACTCAAAGAAGAAAAAGATGCTATCAAAACTTCTAAACGTAAATGAAACCTAAATAAGAAGAAAAATATATTATAGTTAATTTTTTGAATACTTTCAGCATTCTAAATGATTATTGAAAAGTTAATTTTGTTCATAAGCCCCATGGAATATGCTCCATATAAAAAAAGCTATTAAAAGTAGGATTTCGAAATCGGCAGAGAGTGTGATTTTAATAACGATAGCGTGTACTACCATCCCTCACTTTTGGCATCCGTTCATCAAACGGGTTTTAAATTGCTGAAATACTCTCCACATATTAAATTCTACTGTCATTCAATTTGTTTATAAACAAGCTACGCATAAATGAGTGTGTATAAATAAGCTGATAAAAATTAGCAACTTCAATTAAAAATGAATATTTTCTAGTCATAATTTAAGGGTTGAAAATTGTTAATTTAAAATAGCAATTTTTTTATTCGTATTGTTGTACCTTAATTACAAGAATCGTTGTAACATACCCAATATAAGAATTTAAGAATACTTAAATTAGTTGTTATCGAGACGCTATCGCTAGACACATCTCAACAGAAAAATAAAAAAAAAATAATAAAAGTGGTATAATATAAAAAACACCTTACTGAAACCAGCCCAAGAAAGTTTGATACAGCATAGGTCAGAGGCTAAAAAACAGTGGATGACAGAAGAAATACTAATACAGATAGAAGAAAGAAGGAAATATAAAGAAAAAGATCTACAGAAGAAAGTGAGTGGATTCTGAAATTTTAATAATTTTTACAAATTTTTCTCATTTGAATCAATAAAAAATAATTTCACACAAAAAATCGTCGGTCGTTTGAATAGTATAACCCGACAAGCGAGAGCTGGCGGGTTGCGTGTAAAACAAATTGAAAAGTGGAAGGGATTGCTCATTTCTATTGCAGTCGGCTAGGAGTTCACATCGTGTATAACCGTTTAAGTACCTATACTATATACCTATAATCGCGATTAAGTATCTCTCCTATCTCTTTTAGAATAATTCCTTTTCTATTTTCGCGCAGCTCACCCGCCAGCTCTCGCTTGTCGGATTATAACAATTTAATTGCGTAACTCTGTATGATGGAATTAAACAAAACAAACTCACTAATTACCGAAAGTAACACAATAGTACAAAACGTCACAAACTTAATGGAAAATTTCCTAATTTCCTCAAGTAAAAGGCGGCAAAAAATAAGGTTATGTATGCTTCTTCTTCTTTGGGTGCCGTGTCCGTATTTAGACGTTGGCCGTCATCATGTTTACAATTTCCTGAAACCTTTCTCTGTCGGCTGCTGCGCGAAATAATTCTTCTACTGTGAAACCACACCATTGTCTAATATTACGCAGCCATGAAAGTTTCTTTCGACTAATCCATCTCTTTCCTTCCACTTTTCTTGTATATAAGGCGAAGTAAATGGTATTTGGGTCCTCTAATTATATGGCCGAAGTATTCTGTTTTTCTCCTCCTTTATGATGTTTATGAGGAGACGTTCTGAGTTGATCCTTTGAAAAACATCTTCATTGGAAGTGTGCGAAACCCACGATATCTTTAGGATTCGTCTATAGCACTACATTTCGAATGCTTTTAACTTGTTTAGCATTGTGGTTTTTAACGTCCATGTCTCACAACCATACAATAGGATCGACCACACATAACATTTCAGGACCTTCTTACGAATGTTCATTGACAGGTTTCTGTTGCATAAAACTGGTTTCCAGGTCATAAAAGCCTTACGTGATATTTCGATCCTGGATATTATCTCTTCATCAGAGTCACAATTTACATTTAACCAGCTGCCAACGTATTTGAAATGATTTACTTTTTATATCTCTTCTCCATTAAGAGAAAGCAGACCTTGATCTATATGGATCTTTCCAACTGCCATCCACTTTGTCTTTGAAATGTTGATTTTTAGGCCTCTCCGATAACTTGCTTCACTGACTAGATTTAGTAATGTTTGGAGATCTTGTAAACTTTCTGCAAGAATGGCTGTATCGTCAGCGTATCTAATATTGTTGATTACTTCTCCACCTAGTCTTACTCCCTCTTGTCTGTCATCCAAAGCCTCCCTAAAGATTTCTTCAGAGTACAGATTAAAAAGAGTGGGTGACAAAACACAACCCTGCCGTACTCCACGTTTGATGGGTATTTTTTCAGTGGGACTGTCTTCAATTTGGATAGAGGCTACTTGATTGTAATATAAGTATTTCAGCAGTCTTATATCATAGTGGTCAAGTCCTGCTGCCCGTAGGCAGTCGAAAAGTGTATTGTGTTGGACTCTGTCGAACGCCTTCTCGAGGTCGATGAAACAAACATAAACATTCTTTCGGAATTCACAACTTTTTTTTAATAGAACGCGCATACAGAATAGTGCCTCTCTAGTTCCTAGACCGTTTCTAAATCCAAATTGCTTATCACCCATCTTACTTTCGCATAGAAGGAATAACTCGGTTTTGTATAATTCGTAAGAGTATCTTCAGTGTGTGACTCATCAAACTGATTAGTCTAAAATCGCTGCATTTGGTGGGCCTGCTTTTCTTTGGTAATGTTATAAACAGTGACTCTAACCAATCATCTGGTATTTTTCCTTCGTTGTAAATTTTGTTGAAGAAAGTGGTTAAGCAGGCAATGCTTTCCTCATCCAAAAGTTTAAGTAGTTCGGCAGGGATTTGATCTGGTCCAGGTGCTTTATTGTTTTTGGCTTGCTGTATTGCCTTTTCGACTTCCGAATTCAGTATATTGGGACCCTCTGTCCAACTGGTTGTCATAGGCAGTATTTGGAGCATTTTTCCTAGAAGCATCGTCAAAAAGGTCAGTGATGTATCTCTCCCATTCTTTGCACTGTTGTTCGTGATCACAAATTTTTCCCGTCCGCGCTTTTAAGTACGTGAGCATTTTTCTGTTTTCTAATTCCGGCAGTATATTTAAGTTTCTTATGCAGGTTGAAGCTGTTATGCTTTTTTTGGAGGTATGTATGCTTAATCAGTTGTAAATGTTTGGAAAGTATTGATAACTAAGAATATTGAAAAATGTCACAGGGATTCTATAAATTGGCCCAATTCTGTACTGAAGTTTTCGTGCGTCTTGTTTTATTTATTTTGTTTTTGATTTTTAATATTTTAAATGTATATTTTGACTCTTAAGAATTTTAGAATGTAATCTAAGTTTATAAAATATTACAATATCTCTAAAAGCATAATATTAATTAAGCAGTTTATTAATTTTACATTTATTATTATAGCGCACAGCAGTTAATTTTGTTTTTTACAGGTACAGTCAAACCCTTTCAACTCTATTTTCACGCAGACGGCATGGAAGCCCCAAACGATGTAGACAATAAAGGCTTCTGCCTCAACTACATCCAAGTTCCTTGTGCAAGCGCGTTTACCTAACCGATTGGAGGCAAATAGTAATTATATCATACCTGAAACTACATCTTTAGATCATTTAATTAAGCATTCTGTATATATCTCTATTCCCAGACTGCATTGTTTATTTCAATATACAAGACTTAGTCAAGAGATGCAAGAAATGTAGAATTTATATACAGGGTGTCAATTTAAAAGCTGTTAAAAGAAAATTACAATTTTTAATTAGTTTTGATACCAATAACAATTTTATACGTTAACAATTTTATACGATTTCTAGTTAAGCAAGAAAAGTATTCTTTGCAGATAAGTAACTGATCCATAATCGAGTTTTGATATTACTATTGATTTGTAAATATAAATTAAACTTTTAAAATCTAAGCCCCAATTACAATTGCAAAGTTTTAGCATTAAATTGAGACCAGGTTGACAAGATTCCTTAATTGGAACAATATTGTATTTCCAAGACATCGTATTATCAAAGATTATTTCTAAAAATTGTTTTTATAGTGTTCCACATAAGTTAAGTTGTTTCCAAATAACTGAAGATCTTTATTTGTTGAGTGACGTTTTAATCAATATAAAATACATTTTGTTTTGGTGGTAGAAAATTGCAATCTTCATTTTTTTGTACTTTTTTTTCCAATTATTGCTATTTTTCAACAATAAACAATGAATTTTCAATTTGTAGCTAACGAAATATAATGTAAAATTGAATAACGAAACTTTTAACTTCTTATGACTTTTTCTCTGCGATCAATATTTTCCGAATTATAAACGAAAATAGGAGCAAAAAAATGAGAAATTTTCAATTGTTTTCAGATTTTGTTAAATAAAAAATTTAGCACAGGGTTTGCGACTGGTGCATATCGTAAATATCGATATTGGGCACATCCTGAATGGATTTCAGCAAAAAAATAGCTTCCTATGAAAAATGTCCAATCCAAAACAGATTCCGCCTAGACTATAGGTACATACATATACATAACTAATTTCGTTTTAGAATTTAGTGCTGTACATCTCAATTGTAAATATTTTATATTTTAATAAAAAAAAGTGAATAATCAGTTTATTTTGTAAAATAACAAATATAAATTTTTACCACAAAAATATTTGTTTATATTTTATTTCATCCCATTTCAAACAGAGTGTACTTGCTGCAGATCGATATAACGCCTCTAGCAACCAGTTTTATACAGGATTATGCTTCCACTTTTATTGGTTATGACCAAGAACTAGATACCTTTTATCACGACATTAAAAAAGCAATGAAAATATTAAAATCTTCAGTAACTATAATATTTTTCAACCCAGCAACTATCCTAGTGGAAAACGGTCAAATCCCCCGGTCAAATTAAACGAAAATTCGGTCAATGATTAGTGCGTAGATTAAAAAAGACAATGGAACCTTGGTCTAAAAAACTATTGTTCTGAATCTATATTCTTCAAAATTTATTGGATTCAGCTCCTCAGTGTACATCAACCGCACATTCAGTTAAGTGAACGAAACTATTGATTTATGAAAGAACAGAGACATATTTTCTTATTGCATATTAGCACGATAAATATGAGTCAGTGTCAAAAATAAATGCATAGTATTTTAGCCTCCAGAAAACAAGAAAGTTGGCAAAATAAACATTATGAAGTTGGCAGCTATCTTCATCGACCATTTCTTTTAATGAGATAGTCAGTCTTAACTCCATTTATAACACATTAGGAATTAATAATCGTGTTAATATTATAGTTTATTCGTCTTCCGGGTTTGGACCGTGTCATTTGTGAGTGACCCAAAAGTGGGTCATCTCGACGTTTCGCTACAATTGTATGTAGCTTCTTCAGGAGAACAAAGAAAAAGAAATCAAAGGACAGGAAGATGGGTAGTTAGCAACGGTAACTCAGTTACTCAACGCAACCAGAAGCGAATACTAACTACCAAGATGGGCATTTGGTCACAGTAACTCAACACTTAACGCAGCCAGAGGTGAAAACCAAATGCCAGGACAGGGATTCACGTCCAACAGCTCAGAACACTAACGCGTCGAGAGGCGGGGAGTGAATCCGACGATTACACTTCATTGTTGCGTTGGTTTTCTCTGTCTTTGGTTAGATGCTTCTTTTGTTTTGGGGTTTTGTCATCCTGTTTTAGGCTTTTGCCTCTTCAGGATGTGGTTCTTGTCTTTTTGGTGTTTGGCTTTTATTCTTCTTTCTTCGTGGTCCACTGGTGGAGTGCAGCCAGGACAATCAGTGGAGAAAGGTAGTGGTCGGTTCTTTTCAGAATTGTTTTCTAAAAAATATTAGTTAATAGTTAGTGAATGTTAAATTAGTGTATGTACAGAATGCAATATTAATATATGTATAAATACATGCATTAATATGTTATAATTAGTAAATGTGTTAACGCGACGCGTGAGGGCAGCTGCGGCTGTATCCTCAAAATAGACAGGTATCATTTGCAAGTGGGATCGGGAAACCGCAGAAAACCGATCCCCCCCTGTCTAGGCAAGCTCGAAGTGAGCAATTTAGCTTTGAATGCGACGGTAATAGAGGGGAGTTGCCTCCTGTATGTCAATGTATTCATCAGGGAGTTCGTTACTGGCGAGTTCCAGTAGAATTGCGGGTAGGTGTGGGATTTTGGGTTTAGGATGTCTGGTGAATACATTGCCGCGGGAAGAGCAGACAGTTTTTAGGATGCGTTGAGCTCTGAGGTTTTGGCTCCGGATAGTGCGTATAGTATAACTTCTGCTCAGAGAGTGTAATCTCTCATTTATGGGCTGGATATTAGATAGTTGATGAATGAGGGCTGAAGGGTAGTCGTTGCGTCTGCCATTCACTCTACGCAGAATCCTCCGCTCTAGACTTAATAGATTTTCTTTGACTGATTTTGATATTGTAGCATAAATATTTGATCTGTATTCAAAAATAGGTCTAATAAAAGTTTTATAAGTGAAAATTAATGTTCTAGAGTGCGTAGCCCCGAAATTACATCTCAAGCTATTGAGGAGACTCAATCTGCTCCTAGCCTTAGCACAGGCTGTGCTCAAATCGGCCCTCCAGTTCAAAGTTCGTGTGAACTTTACACCGAGGTATTCGATCTGATCGCGGAGCTGGAGTTGATCTCCCCACAGCGTGAGATAGTTTCTTTCGTTAAAGGAGGCCGCACGTACACTGTGATTAGGGTGTCTAAAAAGAATCATTTGAGTTTTGTTCGGATTCAGGGACACTCTCCATCTCCTGCACCAGTTTTCAACTAGTCTAAGGTGATCTTGAGCATACCTGAGAACAGAATCAACGTTCGTTGCTGTAGTTACCAGAGCAGTATCATCTGCGTAAAGTAGAGTGGTGGTTCTGTTTCGTGTAGTATTTGGGAAGTCGCTGTTGTATATTGTGTAAAGTATGGGGGCCAGTACAGAGCCTTGTGGTACTCCGGCTGTTGGAGTAAAGGAATCAGAGAAATAACCACGTTCCTTGACTCTGACCAGACGTTCAGAGACGTATGATTGGATTAGTCTGACGAAGGGAATTGATAGTCCAATGTTCAGTAGTTTCTTGATCAGTCCCACATGCCAGACTTGATCGAAGGCTTTTTGAACATCGAGGAAAATACCTAGTGCAAGTTTGCTGTCGTTCAGACTTTGAGTAATGTGTGTGACAATCTCAGTCAATGCCGTATTAGTGGAGCACCCTTCTCTAAAGCCGAATTGAAAAGAGGGAATGATGTTGTGTTCGTTGGTGAAGTCAATGAGTCTTTCTTTTAGGATCCTCTCAAAGACTTTTGCTAAAACATTTGTAAGTGAAATCGGCCGATAAGAGTTAGGATCTGTGCGGGGTTTGCCCTTTTTTAGGAGCATAATTGTATTAGCTACTTTCCATTGAGATGGGAAATAGCAGAGTTTGAGAGTGGCATTGACGATATTTGTTAAATAGAGGTAGACACTCGGAGGAAATTGTTTCACGCAGCTCCTGGCAATGTTGTCAGGACCCGGTGAATTCGATTTGCCGATATGACAAAAATTTTTGAAAGTTTGTTGATCAACCGGTGCCATGATGGGATGGTCATGTGGCACCTGAGGATCGAAAGGGGCGCCGAGTAGTCTGTTTACATCTCTTTCAGTCTTAGTCAGGAAGGCGCGGTCAAATCTAGGATTATTAGGTGAGATTAAGGTGTTTTGTAAATGGTTTTTAAAGGCTTCGGCCTTTTGTTGGTGTGTATTAATGATTTGATTGTTCACAATAATGTGAGATGGATTATTGGTTTTTTGTTTAGTTAGGCACTTGAATTTATGCCAGAACTTACCACCGTCACGGAAATCAAGACTAGAGGTGGCTGCCCGCCATTGTCTGACTTGCATCTCTTTCACCTGTAGTTTGATCACCGCGGACATGCGGTTATATTCTGCTTTGATAAGAGGGTTTCGGGTGCGTTGAAACTGACGTAGGAGTCGTCTCTTATGTTTGATATTATTGATTATGTATTGCGGTAGAGGTGGCCTATTAGGGTTATAACCTTATTAGGGATTGATATATCAATTGCTTGATTTATCAGATTTGAGATAGCCGTGATACCTAAATCGATATCATCTGTGTGTACTAAGTTGCCTAACTCTGGAATGTTATTTGACAGAAAGGCTCTGTAACGGTCCCAGTCAGCGTGTCTATAGTCTCTTACCACTTTGGGTGGTGCAGGAGGGGTGGGTGTAAATATCTGTTCTTTAACCAGCAGAGGTAAGTGATCCGACGTGATGGAGTCACCCAGAAAGCATTCGTCATCTAACAGATCGATCACATCATACGTACATACAATATGATCGACTATCGACATGCCCTGGTGACCCACAAAAGTCGGCACACGATTACGGATACGATGAATAGGGAGATTAATGAGCATGTCCGAGAAGTCGTTACCTGCGTTATTTGTGGCGGTGTCGCCAAATTGAATGTGTCTGGCGTTAAAATCGCCGAGAATAATAGCCTTATTGAGGCTGGAGATATAATCAAACAAAATCTCGGACATGTCCTGATGAGGA